CTATACCACTGCATTGGGTGATGATCTTGTATCGAGGCGGGAACAAACCATGGTCAGTTCTTAGACTCCTGAATTCTGATTGCCAAGACTTACATGTTGAATAGACTTTTACGTGCTTCGTCTTCCTTGACCTCGTGTCTGCAGTGCAGAACCGCGGTCTCGGATGTGGCCTGATGCAAAACAAGATGCTCGTGACAACCGTATCGATATCATTCCTCGTCCAGCTAGCGCTCATTTATGTTCCCTTTATGCAAGCGATCTTCCAGACAGATGCTCTTCGTTGGGAGGACATCTTGACCATCTTACTCATAGCTGCAACGTCTTTTGCGCTGCATGAGGGACGGAGGTATTTCGAGAGAAGGGTCCAATCAGACGAAGCATATGCTAACGTCGTGGAAGAGATGGCGTGATCTTTCTTTGATAGAGAGGTTGATTTAAGTTATCTACGCATGAATATATAACAGAAACAGAATAGAGCGATGGATAACTATATTGTCTACATAGTACTACACATTATAACCTTTTACACACTCAAGATCGAACTACCATATATGCTTATCGCACAATTGGAAGCATCTAGACTAAGTCATCGCTTTGTAGGGAGTGAAAGCTGGGGGAATGATCATCCAGGACGGCGCGCCAAGAGGGACTGCTCTAGGAGCAACGCCAGTAGCAAGACGAGATTGCGAATAGCATTCTGTACGGAGTTCCTGGACGAATGGGTCAGTGATGTAAGCAACATTGACGAAAAAAAGCCGACGTACCTCAAAACTCCATGACCGAAGACCCGGTGTCGCCGAGATACTCTGAAATACGTCGGAGGCATCTTGCGCCACTTCGTCAGTGCATATTTGCATGTGGTGTGACGTATTGCCATCGCAGGAAATAGGATCGACCGGAGGAACAACGGCACGACCATGAACATAGCTAGTGCCTGCGTGCGTCGCACGTGCTCGAGCAGGAAGCGGAACCATCGCTCTCTTAGGAATAGCACCCTGCCAAACCGCAGCTGCCTTTGAGATAAAAATACCCTCATCGTCTTCTGCAATTTCGAAAGATAGGTTTAGAGGCATGTCTTTTCCTCCTGCGCCGAGCTGGGAGGGTTCTGGAGACGTGTAGTAGTGGGCGTAACCGCTGATTGGTGTTTCCGTCAGAGCGAGCGTTCCAGACATGATGATAGAGGAGAAAATTGGGGGATTGAGGGACTGGAAGATTGCTGGAACGCTAGATGTTATATAGGTGATGTCACAAGGAAGTTTTGCTATAGTGGATTGACGTCAATTATTAGTTCACTTCCATCGGCAATGAAGAAGAATGAGATAACGCAATAAAGCACCTCATTTACAAGGCGTATGTGGCCATAAAAAGACCAAGCAAGGTCAATGAGACTGGCGCTGTCCACACATTAATTGTATGGCGTGATATGTACACGGTTGTGGCTGGTTGACCTAGTGGTGGAAGTGGACCCAAAGGAATAATTTAAAAATTGTTCACATCCGGACTCGGAGCGCTAAATTGGCAAACACGTGATATACTGATGTGACTAACGTCACCGGTGGACGCTTTGACCGTTATCACTACGTTCACCCAGAATATGTCACCTGAAACGCCCAGGCATAATCTACCTGATCGACTTCATCCTGAGGCACCACGATGGTCAAGATACCCGATACATCAATATCCCACTCAAGACTCTGCGAATTCCTCGACGGTCCCAGTAGCACAACACTATCTCCCTTCTGAATTGGAAACGCCACGCCACCCGCATCCACCGTGACTTTCCCATCGCTCGGCTTGTTGAATGCGATGATGCAAAATGTTTTTCGTGTGGTGAGGAACCTAAATGATTCCGTCGGATCTTGGGATGCTTGATACCAATAATCCTGATGCGCACGTCTCATCTAACAAAAGGAGTGCAAAAAGGATGTTCGTGACCTACAGTTGCATATACGCAGTCGCCTGCATACTTTAGCCATTTGCCAGCAGCGAGGAGGTTGTCTGCCATCGGTGCAATGATGTCGCCCTCCGCATTAGGACCAACATCGAGTAAACTGTGGAATGAAATAAAATGAGAACAAAGGCGATCGGATGCTATTCCTCACTAGTTTCCATTCTTGCTCACGACATCGACCAGTGTTTGGATGATGGTCGTTCCGTTCTTGTACTCGCTGGCATTGGTGGCAGAATTCAAACCGTAGCTATACGGGTCCATCCCTTCGTTCGTCTCCCAGTGGCGAGTGGACAAGGAACCCAACGTCGCGTACTCTGGTGTGTCAAAGTCTGGGACCGCACCACAACCTTAAGTGGGTATTGCATCAGACATGCCTAACAAGTTCGCAGCGAAGACAACTTACGATCATTCATGGTAACCTGATAGCCATTCTGCATCGCCTTGTTATAAAATTGTGCAGCAAAATCTAACGTCTTATTGTGGCCTCCACCGTCGCACCACTAGTAGCCCCCGTCAGCACATGCTAAGAAGTCGGTCTAATAACGAACTAACCATGATTTCCGTGTCATAGTCCAGCGCCAAAGACACCATCTGGGGGTATTGCAAATCCTCGATGTAGTCGCTGATATTCAGTATTCCAGTATAAGGCTCCAGCTCAGACGCATTAAATGCGTTGTGCGCTAAGCCTCCTGGCCATGAACTAAATCCATACTTGGAGAAGTATGGATTGAACCTGCAATAGATTAGAAACAGCAGCTATACTCATAGCATCAGTACTCTTACCATTCGGGAAGTGAGTAGTATGTGCCTCGATGAATGTCGGGATAATCGGATTTTGCGGTGTTCATGAGCTCTTTGACAAAGTCGCGATGTGGTTTAAGGTATACACTGCTTCTGTGCGTGGTATTTTTTGTATCAAATAGTGCGTAACCATCGTGATGTTTCTTCAATGCGGCATGGTCAGACTTGATTGAGAACTAATAAAGAGCAGTTCGCACAGTAACGATGACAAAGTACTTTGCCCCAGCCTCGGAGAACAGATCTAACCAAGCTCTCGGATTCCAGGTAGACGCTGTGAAGTTAGCAATGAAGTCATCATACACGACGTCCTGCAGTGCACGAGTATGAACGTCAATGCTGACTGAAAGCTCATTATGTTTACCTTCCCATAAGTGTCTAGGTGATGTGCCCACGTCGGCGAGTTGGAGTTCGGAGGATTACGGAGATTCCAGCTGCTCTTGTGTCAGAATGGCCCGCATATGATGGAGAATTTCCTCACTCATACCACTCCGCATATGAACTAGGTGGGCCCTATCTAAAATGCATCAAACCAACACGAGCGTCACTGACAGCACAAACATACTTACCCAAGCGGGGACGCTGTAGATACCCCAGTGAATGCTGCAAATGCAGTAGTCCATGGATCATCTAAGTCTTCAGGAATCATCTGGTACTTACAATATTCCATACTTCGCCTGGTTCCACCAAGTGGGCGTCTCATGTGTAGCCAGCACATTAGCCTCCGCTGTCCATTCGGTCCGCAGCAGGGCGATGGGCCAGCCCATGGAAGTCCCAATGACATTTCCAAATTCATCTTTGATGGTGATTGTCGCATTTCCTTTCCCGTCGTTGTTGAGAACAAAGACGTCCATGCGAACCTGGTCTGTGGGGACCAGGCGATACACGAGGCCAGGTGTGACCGTGGAGACCCCCTCGCCTGTTACTGAGATCTCATACCGCGAGTTTATGGATGTGTTCGAGGAGATCGCGTAACTCCCTGGGAGTAGATTTGCAAGGGTGATGGCGACGGCTTGAGCTCGCTTTCCGTTGATGTCCTCCCACCTCGTGCTGAATTCGGCACTACGAACAGAGAGCTGGGGCATCAGAAGACCACTGGTAGGTTCAAAAGAAGGTGTCATAGAGAGTGCAAATATATGGAGTCTGTTCGAGGTAGAAGACGCTTCTGGGAGCGTGATACTTTCAAGCGGCGCACGAGATGGTACAGATAGCGATAATTGAAAGATTTGGGTAGAATTCCAATTCTTATTGGATGAATATTCTTCGAAATGGTATGGTCTGATATGGGTTAAAGGTCAGTATTAGTTGGCAAAGACAATGCACGCTTTACGTTCGAATTGCTCCCCCATTGATATTCAACCAGTCTTGCCCAGTAACTAAATGCTATCCATGAGCTGGCAGAGTCCGCGTAGGGTTCAAGGAAAACTAACATGGCAAGTACTTAACTGAATGATCCGCGTATTTCAGGCTGAATGTTCCACTTAATCCGCCTACTACAAATTACAGTCGACGTGCCAGAGGATGCAGATAGCTGACTGCACTTACTATCTGAACGATCCCATACATACATGACATGCAACTCATGAACATAAGTTACGTTCGAGAGTTTCACAACTTGTCCTCCAGCAATGACATTGTCTTGGCTTTGTCCCCACGTCGATGGCAGGTCATACTGAAAATCGCTGAGTAAATAGACAACACATCATCATGATCCTCACCGGGATTCCATTATACAACCAAGGGCCCTCAGGTAGGTACTCTGCTGCATATGTGGCGCCATTCCCATCAAAGTTGCCAGTGGTGCCGTCTAGCGAAGCAGCTTGGTTATCGAAGAGACCACTTAGTGGAATAACAACAGACGGAAATGTGACGAGGGATGACTTCACAGTGCTAAAATAGGAGAACAAAGTCCCGCACAGTAATGGCACACCAAATACTCTCATAGCGGCCTCGAAGGGGTGCTACTCCACCTGGATCCATGCTTTTCTATCCACAGCTAGGCAAAATATCGGTGTTATGTCGCTCGCATAAACAATACCGTCTGACCATGGTCACAATAATCATGTTCATGGCATATGCTTCTGACATGCTGAAATGATTCGAGAAGACGAGAATGACATTGAATCGACGTGGCCGCCCTCGTGTCGATTACGTTGTTAGAAAGGCTTGCCGTGCGAATGAGGCAAGCAGCCTGACATAGCGGAGTCTAAGCGGACAGTCCAGGTGCACGTGATCCACTTTCTTGTTTCACGCTATTTGTACCTCACTAGTACTGGTGGTTCTCTTCACGACGCTGAGGCTTGTTCTTTAGTTCTTGTTCCAATGCCTCGACACCAGCCCCTTCTTTCGAATGATCGTCAATGTCACGTACACCTACTTCAATGTCGGCTGAAGACACCGATTTTCTTCTACTTTTACTGTATACAAGTTGAATGACATGTGGCCTGAGCCCGAGGTCTTCTATCAACGCTACAGTAATTTATTCGGGAGTCCGGTCGAGGTGTCAGGAAAAATTGTATAAAAGTGAGCACATCCATCAACTCTGTGACGAACTGTATATCGTGCGATCAAGCACTGCCAACGCGAAAGAGATAAGACTCACTATTGTGACATGCTCAGTTTGCCAAGCTCATCCGGACTTCTCCTGGCAGTACACGATGGTACTTCCGGACTGGTACAAGGCGCAAAGGTGAGTCGTGGGGTTGAATTTCGGATGCAAAGCGAACGACTCATACTCACAGCAGGCGGACACACAAGGGGACCGACGCAGCAATCGAGGCGCTCCGGGCTGGTGGGGCCACAAGCGTGGCCTAAGGGCGCACACCAATCTGCGCTGACAGGCATAATTCTTGTCAAAGCTGCAACGACTGCGATGACTCGGATGAATGAGAAATGCATGGCTCGTGCTAGGTTATATGGGATGAACAGATTCTGCTAGTGGCTTATATCCTATTAGAAAAAAACGTTTTTGGAAAGTTAGCTTGGCACTTGTATCGGAATGGGTGCGCTTTCTAGCGGACTTGAGGCTGAGAGTATAGGCAGAACCGAAGGTTGGCGGATAAACCATCCAGAGCATGTGGACCGTAGACCAATGCATACCTCAGTGGACGTGATGGAGGTAGGACTGCCGAAGAAAAACATTGAGTATTGAATGTCAAGATGTCCGAGACGGAAACCGGTGGCGACCGTGACACCAGATGTGGTGTCGAAGGTGTCAAGTTATCTGCAAAACTGTGAAATCTGTGAAATGAACGCTTAATAGATCTGTGCCGGTAGGGCGCACATATGCATCATATTAATTGGTGCTTTTTTTTGTCATTGTTGATTGTCCGGTGGGGCGAAGCCCTATGCTGGACAGTACGTACTGTGCTTACTCTTTTCTAATTGTACATGTGCGGTGGTATTGGTGCTCACTCAGCCTCACTACTATTAGTCCTACGTTCACCCAGAATATGACACCTGGAATGCCCAGGCATAATCTACCTGATCGACTTGATCCTGAGGCACCACGATGGTCAAGATACCCGATCCATCAACGTCCCACTCAAGGCTCTGCGAATTCGTTGACGGTCCCAGTAGCACAACACTATCTCCCTTCTGAATCGGAAGCGCCACGCCACCCGCATCCACCGTGATTTTCCCATCGCTCGGCTTGTTGAACGCGATGATGCAAAATGTTTTCGGTGTGGTGAGGAACCTAAATGATCCCGTCGGATCTTGGGACGCTTGGTACCAATAATCCTGATGTTTCATCTAAAAAAGGAGTGCCAAAAGAGTTATTGTGACCTACAGTTGCATAGACGCAGTCGCCTGCATACTTGAGCCATTTGCCAGCAGCGAGGAGGTTGTCTGCCATCGGTGCGATGATGTCGCCCTCTGCGGTGGGACCGACATCGAGCAAACTGCGGGATTGAATTAAAAAAAGTACCAAGGCGATAATGCTATTCCTCACTAGTTTCCATTCTTGCTCACGACATCGACCAGCGTTTGGATGATAGTTGTTCCGTTCTTGTACTCGCTGGCATTGGTGGCAGAATTCAAACCATAGCTATTCGGGTCCATCCCTTCGCTTGTCTCCCAGTGGCGAGTGGACAGGGAAGCGAACGTCGCGTACTCTGGTGTGTCAAAGTCCGGGACCGCACCACAACCTCGAATGGGTGTTGCATCAGACATGACTAAAAGTTCGCAGCAAAGACGACCTACGATCATTCATGGTAACCTGATAGCCGTTCTGCATCGCCTTGTTAAAGAATTGTGCAGCAAAATCCAACGTCTTATTGGGACCTCCAATGTCGCACCACTAGCCCCCCGTCAGCACGTACTGAGAAGTCAGTCTGATAACGAGCTAACCATGATTTCCGTGTCATAGTCCAGCGCCAAAGACACCATCTGGGGGTATTGCAAATCCTCGATGTAGTCGCTAATATTCAGTATTCCAGTATAAGGTTCCAGTTCAGACGCATTGAATGCGTTGTGCGCCAAGCCTCCTGGCCATGAACTAAACCCATACTTGGAGAAGTATGGATTGAACCTGCAGTAGATTAGAAACAGGAGCTATACTCGTGGCATCAGTACTCTTACCATTCGGGAAGTGAGTAGTATGTTCCGCGATGAATGTCGGGATAATCAGATTTGGCGGTGTCCATGAGCTCTTTGACAAAGTCACGATATGGGTTGAGGTATACACTGCTTCTGTGTGTGGTGTTTTTTGTATCAAACAGTGCATAACCGTCGTGATGTTTCTGTAATGCAGTACGGTTAGACTTGACTGACAACCAATAGAGAGCAGCTCGCACAGTAACGATGACAAAGTACTTCGCGCCAGCCTCGGAGAACAGATCTAACCAAGCACTGGGATTCCAAGTAGACGCTGTGAAGTTAGAAATAAAGTCATCATATACGATGTCCTGCAGTGCACAAGCATGAACGTTAATGCTGACTGAAAGCTTATCATGAATACCTTCCCATAGGTGTCCAGGTGATGTACCCATGTCGGCGAGTTGGAATTCGGAGGATTATGGAGGCTCCAGCTATTCCTGTGTCAGAATAGCCCACGTATGACGAAAAACTTCCTTACTCATACCACTCCGCATATGAACCAGGCGGGCCCTATCTAGAATGCATCAACCAACGGGAGCATCACCGACAGCACAAACATACTCACCCAAGCAGGGACACTGTAGATGCCCCAGTGAATGCTGCGAATACATGAGTCCCTGTAATCCTCAGGAATCATCTGGTACTAACAAGATTCCATACTTGGCCTGATTCCACCAAGTGGGCGTCTCGTGTGTGGCCAGTACATCAGCGTCTGCTGTCCATTCAGTCCGCAGCGGGACGATGGGCCATCCTACGGAAGTCCCAATGACATTTCCAAATTCGTTTTTGATCGTGACTGTTGCATTTCCTGTCCCGCCATCGTTGAGAACAAAGACGTCTACGCGAGCCTGGTCTGCGGGGACCAGGCGATACACGAGGCCAGGCGTGACTGTAGAGACTCCCTCGCCTGTTACTGAGATCTCGTACCGCGAGTTTATGGATGCGTTCGGGGAGGTAGCATAACTCCCTGGGAGTAGATTCGCAAGGGTGATGGCGACGGCTTGAGCTCGCTGCCCGTTGATGTCTTCCCATCTCGTGCTGAATTGGGCACTACGGACAGAGACCTGAGGCACCAGAAGACCACTGGCAGGTTCAAAAGAAGGTGTCATAGAGAGTGCGAATATATGGAGTCTGTTCGAGGTAGAAGACGTTTCTGGGAGCGTGATACTTTCAAGCGGCGCACGAGACGGTACGGATAGCGATAATTGAAAGATCTGGCTAGAATTCCAATTCTTACTGGATGAATGACCTTCGAAATAGTATGGTCTGTTATGGGTCAAAGGTCGGTATGAGTTTGCAAAGACGATGCACGTTTTACGTTTGAATTTCTCCCCCGTTGAGATAAGGCCATTTCAACCAGTCTTTCCCAGTGACTGAATGCTATCCATGAGCTGGCAGAGTCCGCACAGGATTCAATGGAAACTAACATTGCAAGTACTTGACTGAATTATCCGCATAGTTCAGGCTGAACGTTCCACTTAATCCGCCTACGAATTCAAGTCAACGCGTTAGAGGATGCGGATAGTAGCTGACTGCACTTACTACCCGAACTATCCCCTGCATATACGATGTGCAACTCGTGAACATAAGTTGCATTCGAGAGCTTCACAACTTGGCCTCCAGCAATGACATTGTCTTGGCTTTGTCCCCAAGTCGATGGCAGGTCATACTGAAGATCGCTGAGTGAATAGACGAAACGTCATCGTGATCCTCACTGAGATTCCATTATACAACCAAGGGCCCTCAGGTAGGTACTCTGCTGCATATGTGGCGTTATAGCCATCGAAGTTGTCGGTGGTGCCATCTAGCGAAGCAGCTTGGTTATCGAAGAGATCGCTTAGTGGAATGACAACAGATGGAAATGTGACGAGGGATGACTTCACAGTGCGAAAATAAGAGAATAAAGCCCCGCATAATAATGGGACACCGAAGATTCTCATAACGGCCTCGAAGGGAGGCTGCTCGGCGAGGATGCATGCCTTTTCTATCCACAACTAGGGGAGATATCGGTGTTATGTCACTCGCATAAACAATAGGTCTGAGTCTGACCATGGTCACAATAGTCATGTTCACGGCATATGCTTCTGGCATGCTGAAATGAGTCGAGAAGACGAGAGTGATGTTCAACGTGGCCGCCCTATTGTCGAATATGTTGTTAGAGAGGCTAGCCTACGGTACGAAATGCGGCAAGCAGCCTTCGAAGGTCCAACCCTGAAACTGAAAGATGTATCTCAGGAATGGCTAAAGAAGTCGAGCATGATAAATCAGGCGGGAACAACATACACTTTGAACATTAATTGCGTTCTGGTTCCACGTCACTAGCCCTGAATTCTAGGCAGCAGATATAATGTCGCGTTGCACCGTTATAAACGACAGCTTAAGAGTTAGTCGAAGGACTAGGAGGCTCGGAAAGAGTTAGGAGTGCATTAGGGACTCTGTAGTGTTCACTGACAATTAACTAACATTCCAACCAAGTGGACCGCACGGACCGTACGAAAAGTGCACGTGATATTTGTCTTCACGAGTACCACTAGGACTACAGATGCGGCATCATCGATGCATCAGCGCTTCAGTACTCAGTCGTCAAATCATATCCATCATCGATTGTTTCCCGCAAAATTGATGACATCCATTGACGAGGCGCTGCCTGTTTCAAAGCTATCCTGACAATTGAGGTCCCTGCATAAACGTCTCGCGGTATCGAATCCGAATCCGAAGAACAGTATCATAGGTTGGTGTAGTGGGGGAGGGAACACACGTATACTCCCGTGGAAGGCCGTGGATCGATAAGTGAGTTTGGAGCATCTATCTTGGTTGATCGGGAACATTCGGTTCATGATCACATGACCACAAGGATGCTGACTCGGCCTGAAATCTGTCGCTGACTAGATTGGTAATTAGTGACTTGAAACTTCTAGGTCCTACGTAGAAGCGCATCCCCACAACAACGAATAACTTCTACATCCAAGATCGCTATCCTGAATGTCCCCTGCTGCTTTGTGTAGCACCGTACCCATACGCAGTTACTCGGGCATAGGCCTGATCAACATTCAGCTAGCTCCTTCCCATTAGCTTTGATGAACTTTGTAAAGGCAAATGATCAACCCTTTCCTGAATTGGCTTACAAGATCAGCGCCAGCGCTAGCACCGTGTGATCTTATCGTAATCTCTAGACCATAGGTATAAATATTCATGCGTTCATCGATATCGATATCACATACCACCATCATCACCCCCACATCTAATCTCACACAATGGTCAAGTTGTACGGTTTCTCCGGTTCCACATGCACCCGCCTCGTCGCCCTCATCTGCAAGGAAAAGAACGTCCCATACGAGTTGACCTCGGTCAACTTGGCCAAAGGCGAACAGAAGGCCGCATCGCACACTGCGATCCAGCCATTCGGACAGGTTCCATACATCGTGAGCCAAATCGTGACCAGATCTATCCCATCCGCTAATTTGCGCCTTCAAAGGATGACGACGGCTTCATTCTATACGAGTCGCGCGCAATCGCGAGATACCTTAGCAAGAAATACCCCAACCAAGGCACCTCCTTGACTCCTAGCGATCCCAAGGCAGAGGCTCTGTTCGAACAAGCAGCTTCGATCGAGACCTTCAACTTCAGCGTTATCGTCGCGCCCATCGTCGGCGAAAAGGTGTTCAAGCCGTGAGTAGTTCTCTTTCTTGATCCGACATAGCTGAGACGATCTCTCAAGGCGCCGTGGTCTGCAACCAGACGAGGCACGTGTCACCGAGCTGTTGGCGAGCCTCCAGAGCAAGATGGATGCGTATGAGGTGATCCTCAGCAAACAGAAGTACCTTGCTGGTGACGTGCGTCTGATTTACCTCTTGACATCTACTCTGGCTATGAACTAACGGTATCCGCTGGCTATCTAGTCTGTCACGCTCGCTGATTTGTACCACCTGCCGTATGGCACTGCGTTTTACGGACTCGGAGGTAGCTTTGCTGAGGTGTTTGACAGCAGGCCTAGCCTTTCTAGGTAAGAGCTATCCTGCCAGCCGTCATGGATGTGATTTAATCGTTTGATACACAGGTGGTGGAAGGATATCTCTAGCAGGCCTGCTTGGCTTGCCGTCAAGGATGGTGCATAAGCGCATGAGCCGTAGTTCAACAATTTGTAGGATACTTTTGGAAAGCAGAGCAGAGCATTCTCGTTGTATGTAATACCAACAGAACGTCAGATATATCCCAATCGATGTTTTACATTCCCTGTATAACTGCATGACTACTCGTCTTGGTGAAAACATCATGAAAAGGAAGAACAGTGCGATGGCGTCGTGTAAAAGCAACAACTGCAACTATCTTACTTGAATATAATATGAAAGATACTCGCCTCTCATCGGACATCCTCTCCCGCCGGAACCCGTGCTCCAAGCACAGCTTCCCTACGAGTTCTCAGCGCTCCCTCATACGCCTTACACGCCCACTTCAGAAACCCCACTTCTTTACCCCTACCCTGCTCTACTAATCGGGCATACAGCAACTCCACATCTGCGAAACTCAGCAAAGGCGGTACACGCTCGTCAGGTGGACCGATGGCTGATGTGAGGCGCACGATGGGGCGAGGCGCAGTGGATGAGAACCGTTCGTGTCGAGAGGATGGGTGGTTTTGCGAAGAGAGTGATCGTACGTTTTTTCATCTACATCAGCACACGATGGATTGTGGGCCGGAGGCAGCAGCGCGGTTGCCACGTGTTTGTGGCGGTTCAAAAATAGTAGAAATTCAATTAAATCATTTTCGAGTTGTATACACCTGTGACCTCCATGTATGCCTTCAAACGCGTCATATCACACAAGAATATTCTCACTCAGACTCACCATGGTCTACCAGAAGATCAGTCCTGATCGACAAGAATGAGTTCTGTACCTGCTTTTGGAGGAAGGATGGGAGATCGAGCGCATTGCTGCTGTTCCTGCAGTGTCGTCGAGAAGTATAGAGTGGTGGGAGGGAAATCATGGGCCGCCTTCGCTTGCTGGATCAAATTATGAAGAACGAAATCTGCGGGTTGCTAGCTGAAACCCCGTCGCTACTACTTAATGAGATCGGCGAATGGCTCGCCATATATCATGATCAACCAATATCCACACCAGCTCTTTACTGCAACCTCGGGAACCTTGGACTCGCCTACGAACGCTTGAAGAGGATAGCGGCCGAACGTGATGACGGTTTCCGAGCTGATTGGTTGCACAACACGACAGCCAACTATACAGCTGAGCAGCTCATGTTCCTGGACGAGTCAAGCCCCAATATGAACCCATTCCCCGGCCCCAGCAATGTGATTGTCCTCGACAACTGTCCCACTCACAAGAGTGACGCCTTACGAGAAGCTGTAGGCGCATCTGGTTTGCTAAATGCTAACAAAATCGCAGCGGGGACAGTACTTCATGTCGCGAGAACCTTGTTTGGGGAATCGTTGGCGAACACGTTCGATTGCAGGTTCGATGCTCTTGACCACGGGTAGACTTGAGTCCCCATTGTGAGCGGCGTTTTTTCAGGAGGCTGAGTCTAATTCATTTAAGTATCAGATGCTCTCGACTGTACTACCTGCGAACATCAGGTCGTCCTTGCTGGGATCCATTGTGAATGCAGGATTCGATATGCAGTCAAACCAGCGGTAGAATAAAACTAGGGTATACGTCGAATAGAATAAAATAAAATGTATTACTCGAAACAAACAACGATTGGACATTGAATATTGAATATTAATCATTGCGCTCCAGACTTTTGGCCAATCCCTTTCTAGGCAATTACACTTCCCGCGACGTAACTTACACTACATCTAAAAGAGTCGAGTTGTCGAAAACGAGTTCGAACGTTGTTTTGAACAATTCGAATTCGGTCTAGCGCAGGGCGCGCATTCGTAAATGTTGTTTTCGCTGGACCGAGAGAAAAATACCATTCTGAGACCGCCGTTGTAGTAAAAACGTTAGGACATGGTCCAAATATATAAAATCAAAATTTTCACGAGTGATACAACTATTAACTACTAGAATGTGAATATATTAGTGGTATAGTACATGCGTTTATTCGAAAACAAAATCAGATAGTTCGTCGTTAGTTTGTTGCGAGCGCCCGCAAACGACAATACTATCTGTAAACTCGTCAAAAACAGACTTTTCATTGTCATCGAGCCGATCCAGGCTCAGAACAATATTCGTGAATGTCGAAAACGTCATCTGGGGGGTGATCCTACCCTTCGTCAGTTGTATCAAGCCCTGCTCCATCAATGCAGACTCTGTAATGGCGCCGGCTGCGCCAATAGCGTAACGTAGTTGACGGCGTGGGGATTCGTCGAGAAATGTATGTAGCCCGAAGGGCGAACACCATATGAGTCTCGTTAGGACGTGAAGGACGAATGGATTGGTGAATTTCGAGTTAATGACAAGCGCACCGTCCTGTCGAAATATAATAAAAAAGTGTTCTCGAAAATCAATAAAAACTTACTGCAGTGAACGTGTATTGATGCATGAACGCTAAGGCGTTATCTACGACGAGGCGGCGTATTCGATCGACACGAAAAGTATCTGGGGGGATAACACAGCCCGGTGGTGGGAAAAGGGAATATCCCATCACGACAGCATGTCGGATGATCGTTGCAAACGAAGTGCGAAACTTCGTCACTGCGCACCAAATATTTGCGACGTCCTTTTCGTTAGCCGTCCATCAAGTCGCAACTAGTAGGATCAAATAATTAGTATAAGTTAGTGTGCGCATGTTGATTCATACCGAGAAGCGCTGGTATTCCAAGTCTTACTTCAGAAATAACATTTCTGATGATGCGTTTTTTGTCAGATACCAGATATGCCAATGCATCCTCGGAAAATACGATGGATAATATGCGCTCTTTTGAGAGCGAGATCGCTTGTTTGCGTGTCTCGGGACTAATATTAATGGTGGAACCTTCGATGGATTCCGTAGGTGCCACTGTCCCCGTCATTGTTGGGGGCGTCACAGCAGGAATGAGAAGACATGGTGTGGGGGGCAGGCGTCGAGTTGCACGACGACGTGCTTTCGATGTCCTTGCGGGCCCTGTGGTCTGGTAATATCAGGTCAATTTTCGATGATGCAGAAACTAACGATAACTCACATGTATCACATGGGAGTTGGGGATCTCTCCCGTCGACATTGGCCGTAAGTGTTCGAGATCCGGTGGCGGGACCGAAAGGGTCTGGAATTCCTCATCATCGCTGACCCAACTGGGCGCTATGGTGGAAGGTTAAGTGCTAGACGTAGATTATTAGCGCAGGCAGACTTACCTAATGACGGAGCAACATATCCGGTCGAGGATCCAGCGCCAGATGCAAAGTCCTGCTGAGGATACGCAAAGTCCTGCTGAGGATACGCAAAGTCCTGCTGAGGAGGCGCAAAGTCCTGCTGAGGATGCGCGAAGTCCTGCTGAGGAGGCGCGAAGTCCTGCTGAGGAGGCGCGAAGTTCTGATGCGGATGGTATGCGAGATCTTCATGCTGAGGAGGCGCGAAGTCCTGATGCGGATGGTGCGCGAGATCTTCATGCTGATGGTAAGCGGGCTCGCGCTGGTGGGGAGTGGGCTGATGCTGATGGTGGGCAAAATCCTGATGCTGATGATGGGGGAGATCTTCATGCTGATGGTGGGCGAAATCTTCATGCTGATGGTAAGCGGGCTCGCGCTGGTGGGGAGCGGACTCGTGTTGGTGGTGCGCGGAGTCCTGTGGATGGTGAGGATGGTGGGTAGTGTGAGGATTGAACGGCAGCGGCTGATTTGAGGCGTGAGGGTTAAAATAAGACATTGGTTCGCGCGGCTGCTCATCAACGAGATTCAATTGACTGTCCGCGGGAGCATGAGAAGGGTTGAGGCCTGATCCACGCGCAGGTTTCGCAAAGTGAGCCTTACCTTTGCGGGGCGGTGCACATTTGCTGGCCATAAAGTAGAGGGAGTTGAGGATGCATGGGCGCAGAGAGCAGTCCAATTTGAATTCTACAAGAAGCGACTGTACACAAACAACACCCAAATAAACTACACGTCTTGTGACATGGGGCTGCAAACAGGATAAGGGTTAAAATGAAGGGGCACGATGTAAAAAGAACAGCTGCAGATGTGAAAAATGAATACAAATGAGAAAGGGGCCATGATGGATTTGCTAAACTGTAGCATGCACGTTACAATGCGTTCTTATCGATTGATCAGTGGAGCGCATAATGACCGGACACGTGTATAGCATACCTAAATTAGAAGCGCAGGGCTCATACAAATAACGGCGTACGGGAAGGGTGTGCGGACTGTGCTGCCGAATTGACCGAAACCTGTGAGCTATCTTCCAGATCTGCGGATACCAGATTATCTCTAACCGAAACCCCAGGCTCAGGCGATGGGGATCCCAATCCTCTGGCTCCAGGTTGCAAGAAATCCTTCTTGACACGTGCACCTAAGATCTTTGAGAACTGCTCAGCTTGTAGCGAGACAACGCGAAGAATCTCCATTTCATCCTCATACACAGCTTGAAGATAATCTCTGTCGTCATTGACATCAGAACGGTCACGCTCAGAAAATAGCTTCCTAAAGATGTTTAAGTCTTCTTGAGCGAATCCGAGCCGTTCTTCGTTGTCGACATGCAGAGCATCGAGGAATTCAAGGAAGCGCTCAGTTTCCTCGATTTCCCATGCGGTCACCAACATGCGCTGGCGTGCAGTCTCACGAGCAGCAAGCTTTGCTTGATACCTTTTGTACAAGGTTGCAGGACGCATTTGTGTGAGGCCATTTTCCAATGTTCCGGCATGCTTTCAATAATTTAGTCTCTACAATTAAATAAAAGAAATACACGATACCTCGAGAAGTGAGTCAGAGGATACGTATGGTTTGCATTCTCGCCCGGAGACACGAGCTGCATAACGGACCTCAATTGGAGCCGGAGAGGGGGGGTACGGAATGAACTTGTTGCTCATTCTCTCGCGGATAAAGCCATGTCGAGAAGCGCGCGCAGGGTTTGGAGGTGTAGACGGATTATAGAATAGGCTGTCCGTCTCCAATTTGGCAGCTGCAATCTGAGGTGTCTTTGCCAGTGAAGATATGCTTCTTAGTGAAGCACATATGTCAGAATGCCTCGTATTGGGAGAGCTTTCTGACTTGAGACTGGAATCAAAAAGAGATGATCCAGGAGTGGTAGCACGTCCGCCTGATAGAGGTGAAGGTGGGGGACTGCTTGATGGAGGAGGGCAACTACTGCCTCGAGATACGGGGGAGGAACTGACATGTGGAGAAGAGACTGTATGAATCATCATGTACAAAGGGTGGACTTGGGAGAACCTGCGGAAGGCTAACTGGGTATATGAGAGCGACCCGTTGGATTATCACAAGGTTGACATCAGCCGGCGGAGTCTAAAAGACTGAATCGATTTGCGCACTGCGTAACGCATAGCACTCAGCAAGGGGCAGCAAATGTGCGTATATCATTGTCACTCAATGGTGCTGATCAATGGACATACCTGTACCAGGTTTTGTCCCAACTGCAGTAGAGAGTTTCCTACAATCGAGGCCATTACCCTGCACTTGAATTCTCAGTCTACCTGTTGGCCACACGAGGAACGTCCGCATCAATTCCCTGTTCCCCCTGGGTTGCGAGGTTCCCAATCATCAAAACCTTCTACCACTACTGGTTATTGTCATCCGCACTCAGGATATGTCTTTGGTGTTGGCAAGAACCTGTTTGACAGGCTGCAAGACGATCAGTATAATTATCGGCGAGAAATAAATATGTATTACCCTTTCCATGATGAAGGAGAATGGGAGTTGGCGAAGTTCTTGGTTGAAAACTTAACTCAAGCTCAGATTGACAAGTTTTTAAAGTTAAAATGGGTAGGAGAAACTTTGAGTGCTGCTCGACAGGCCTGACTCCGTTGTTTCCAGTTTCACACTCGCCCCAAAACCATCCTTCACCTCCAAGGAGCAACTTCTAGATTGGACCGATGCACTGCCCTCTTTCGTGCCATGGAAAGTTTCGAACCTAGAGTTTACGGGCTACAAGACGACTTATCCCGTGCAACTTATTTGGCGCGATGCTCTAGAGGTTGTCAAACAACTTTTCAGCGATCCGGTTTTCGCCAATCACATTACCTTCCAGCCACACGTAGTCAATACAGGAAGTCAACGCGAGTATGGAGATTATATGAGTGCCGATATGGCATGGAAAATCCAGGTTAGTTTGGCTCTTTTAGTCTACTACTTGAAGTTAATTCTATATACCTAGGACTATCTGCCAGTAGGTGCTACGCAAGTACCTATCATCTTGGGATCCGATAAGACTCCTGTCACGCGGATTACTGGAGGGCTCGAGATGCACCCACTTTTCATCACCATCGGTAACATCGATTCGGAGGTTCGCTCCAAGGCCACCCTACGAGCTTGGCGCTGTATCGCCTACATGCCTGTTAGTAAGTTTCGCGTGCATCCCGACTATCAGACCATTCTTCAGGCGCGGCTATGGCATAAGTGCGTTGATCTCGTCTGCGCCAACCTGAAGGTTGCAGCGAGTGATGGCTGTTTTATGCCTGATCCTTCCCGACATATTCGATATGTCTTTACACCACTTATCGCCCATGTATGCGACCTTCCCGAGGCCTCCATGATCGCTGCAGTCAGCAAGAATGTCTCTCCTGTCACTATGGCGACACAAGACAATTTTGGTGATGGAATTCTCTATCCTCCTCGTACTGGGAAGCACACACTACAACTTATACACGGGATCGCCAAAGAGATTGATCCTTGGGATCTCGACAAATTTCAGAAGGCAGCAAAAGCTGCCCATCTGTCTGGGGTCCACATGCCATATTGGCTTGATTGGTCGTTTTCGTGTCCATCCGTCTTTCTCGCTGGCGAAGTTTTACATACCCTCCATAAGTTTTTTGCAGATCATCCACTCAAATGGATCAAGGAGATAGTAGGAAAAACCGAGCTCGACACCCGCTTCATTATTCAGCACAAACGGGTAGGGACGCACCACTTTACTAAAGGCATCACGCACGTCAACCAAATGACTGGGCGTGAGCATCGTGATATTCAATGCACCATTGTTGCTTCAATTGCAGGCGCTGCTCCACCTAGATTCGTTCGTGCAATCCGTGCTCTCATAGATTTCATCTATTATGCTCAAAATCCAGTCCATTCTCCCGAATCCTTACAGTCGATGGTGCAGGCACTCTCCGATTTTCATGCATTCAAGGATGCTATCATCGAGGCCAAGGCGAGGAGGGGGAAGAAGGGCGCCAAAGAAGACTTTTTCATCCCCAAGCTCGAGTTACTCCAAAGCTTCAGAGGCACGATTGAGAGACTGGGTACCTTGATGCAGTTTTCAGCCGATATGACAGAGCGCTTGCTCATCACTCACTGCAAGGATCTCTTTGCCCGAACAAGTCGACGAGTGAATGATTTCACGGAGCAGTGCGTACGGATTCTCAATCGCCAGGAGTCAATGGAATTGTTCAACCTGTACGCGCTGATCACTTCCCATGGCGCATCGCTCGTCAACGCCATAAGCCTTGAAGATGAGGAAGTGACGACCGTCAACCCAGCACTCTCCTGGGTTTCTCGTATACTCCCCGATGAAGCATATTCTGTCCATGGACCTCGACGAGTCCGTAATCATTTTCACAAGGGCATTCTTTCTGGAGACACTCTCACTGCCTTCCATTTAACTTCAACACCAGATCTCAAGTCCCTGTCGCCCATCGATATTCTCACCAAATACGCACTCGTTGATTTTGATCACGCAGTCTCCCAGTTCATCCAGCGTTCTTCCCTCTCCAGTGGCGAGAATACTTGCTGGGACCACAAACATGGACACTTTTACGCGTGGAACAAATTTCGATTGCAACTTCACTCTGCCTTCCAGCCTCGAGTGATCATGCCAAGCAGAGTGATCCAATCATACCCGCCCAGTGACATATTTCCCCTCGGGAACTGTGATACCGTCCTTGTCGATGTTACGGGTGATGATGGCCAAATTAGTACGTATATTTTTTGCTGTCATATTCTAACACTAACGAGGTGATATTCAGCAAGTCGCGTCGCCCAAGTTCGACTTATTTTTCAGCCCAAGGTTCCACGTGCTTCCAACCTGGTTCTTCCAACATACCTTTCCAGTCCGCTCCTCTACATACAATATTTCGACTTCGTCGCCAATCCCAATGATCGTCCTGAACTCGCGATGTGGACAGTAGAGCGGTCATATGTGGTGGACCAACATGGCAAACGCTATAGGCATGGTGGTGTGGTGTTATTGACAGATGTAACACATGCTGTTGAATTGATACCAGAATACGGTGAGAAGGTCAACAAGGACATTTCTGCGACGACGTGTTTGGAGTCCTATGACCGGTTTTTTCTGAATAACTTTGCAGATAAAGAAAGTTATCATACATTTAGTACAGAGTTCGCGTAGTATTGATCGTTAATAGTAGTAGTAGCGCAGATGCAATGCATGCCAATCGATTGCTGTCATTCTGAACTTTCTGAATGGCCCAATGATTATTACAAATGACCCTACTCGGTGTTTGCAAATGCAATTCCCGAACCCTAGACTAGTATTTCAACTCAATCTCAATATAATATCATATAATGCAATACATACACCCGTTTAAAAATTATAACACTATCAATATCGAGTATTTACAGTGTACTACGGAAAAGTTTGTTCCACCAATCGCGTTGCTCCATCACCAGCGCCGTAAGCTCACCGTAAGCATCAAACTTCCTTTTGACAAGCGAAATTTCAAGGTCTTTTGCTGATGTAGTAAGTACTGCGCATGCCATATTGCTCACCAATATATTGATGGCAGTACTAGTAATCATCGTCTGTGCGTTGGCACGGCAAAGCAAAGCACCCTTTCTGGGATTAAGCGGAAACCACCAAGGCTACGGCTCGCGATACCAAGCAGGAATCATACAAGTGTCGCCCAATAACCAGCTCGCGAGCTCGGATGACTCGCACTGGCAGCATCCAAGTCCAGAATTTGGAGTGCTCTTCTATTTCCTCACCAGATAATTGTAACCTTCATCGCCCACTGACACGTAGTTACTCAAATCAAGATGGTGCCGCTATGGTAAGCAGCTAGTCCTTTTACGCTCTCCGAGACCTCCATTTAAGTACTAGTATAATCGCCTTGCCGAGTGCGAAGGCAAATATCAGCACTTTACTCAGCATGCGCGATATTTTATCGTCATCGATTCATCATCCACCTAAATATTCATGCAGAGCCCTACAGGAGCCATGGGTATAAATAATTCATGCCCTCATGGAACTCCATCATCAACTCGCATATCATCCTCATTCTCAGTAATCTCACAAGATGGTCAAGTTATACGGTTCTCCCACTTCCACATGCACGCGCCTCGTCGCCCTCATCTGCAAGGAAAAGAATATCCCATATGAGTTGATCCAGATCAACTTGGCCAAAGGTGAACAAAAGGCCGCGTCTTTCACGGCGATCCAGCCATTCGGACAGGTCCCATACATCGTGAGTCGAGTCGTGACCAGGTCTCAGGATGTTGTTCGCTGATTGACGCCCTCAAAGGATGACGACGGTTTTATTCTATACGAGTCTCGCGCGATCGCAAGATACCTCATCAAGAAATACCCCAACCAGGGCACCCCTTTGATTCCCAGCGACCCCAAGGCTCAGGCACTGTTTGAACAAGCAGCTTCGGTCGAGGTGTTCAACTTCACCAACTTCGTACAGCCAATTGTGTTCGAAAAAGTGTTCAAGCCGTGAGTGGTTCTCTTCTTTGTTCCAACGTAGCTCAGACAATTTCTCAAGGCGCTTTGGTCTGCAAACAAATGAGGCACGTGTTGGCGAGCTATTGAAGACCCTCCAGGAGAAGTTGGATGTGTATGAGGTGATCCTCAGCAAACAAAAGTACCTTGCTGGTGATGTATGTCTGATTTATTCCTCGACGTCTTCTCTGGCTATGAACTGACAGTCTATTTAGTTTCTCACGCTTGCTGATTTGACCCATCTGCCATATGGCACTGCGTTTTACACAAATGGCTTTGCCGAGGTGTTTGACAGCAGGCCTAACCTTGCTAGGTGAGAGCTATGATGCCAGCTGTCGTGGGTATTATTTAATCGTTTGATGCGCAGGTGGTGGAAGGACATCTCCAACAGGCCTGCTTGGCTCGCCGTCAAGGATGGTGCGTAAGGTCTTATTCAAGAGGTCAGGAAACGTTCGGAAAGCAGTGCAGTCTCGTTGTATACAGTACCAATAGAAGTTCAGTTTGATATTTGTCGCTTGATTTATCGCAAGGAGAACGAGAAACTCGGCAGTTCATGACTCATGGAATGGTGAGGATCGTGGAGGATGTATTTACAATTGGAAATTTGCGCACGATGTCAGATGAGAATCTACTACATCTACACAAGTGATATAGTGCAAAGCGATGCTCGCCCGTGACTCGTCTCTATAGTACATACTCAATGGTGACCCTGAACGGTTCAGACTTCAGGGTGAGCGGCCGGTCAGTGTCTTTACGTGGGGGGAACGTACCGAGGAACATTGAGTAAGGTCTAGACATCTCGAGCCGGAAATCCGATGTCTCTGACATGACAGAAAAGTGTTAGCGCGGGAGCCACATTGGATGCCACCTACAAGTTGGCCCATGATGAGGACAATAGCAGTCGTACTTGTACTCTCATGCAGGACATGAGTAGCAAGGTGAACCACATTGGAGGGGATGTTACGGTCATAAAGCTAGAATTTGAAGCATTGAAAGTGATGTCAATGGAAATTCGGGATACCGTAGCTAAACTGGTACTAGAGGTCAGACGTAAGAATACAGCTTTTGTCTGAATCTCATTGTTGCCCTTGCAAGTATTGTGAACTTACGAGAAAGCGAAATAGCTGGGAATCCGAGGGGACACTCTGGGGTCATCGTATGGTTTCTTTGCGTGAACTATATCAGCCACCACCACGTCAATATCAACCACATGGTGGAAGAGGAGTGGGGAGGGTGGGAAACACAAGAAGGAGGCAGATGGAAAGATGAGCCGGAAGGACAGCGGATTGCATGATCATAAGGTAGACTTGAGGTGATGCATGAATACAGTACGGTAATATTCCGATTCCGATGGCAGCAGGCTGCAGGCAAGGTTGTTTTGTCATCAAGCGGTGTTTAAATTTAGACTTTGCCGGACTTGCTGAATCATTGGGCAGCGGCTCCAGAAAGTCCCTTTCTGGGCAATTACACTTTCGACGTAACTCACACTATAGTAAGTACTGCGCATGCCACATTAATGCTCACCAACATATTGATGGCAGTACTAGTAATCGTCTGTCGTTGGCACGGCAAGCAAAGCACCCTTTCTGGGATTAAGCGGAAACCACCAAGGCTATGGCTCGCGATACCAAGCATGACTCATACAAGTGTCGTCCAATAACCAGCTCGGAGGACTCGCATTGGCAACATCCAAGTCCAGAATCTGGATTACTCTTCTATTTCCTCACCAGGGAATTTTAACCTACTTTCGAAGCCCCGCATAGCCCACTGAACCCAGATCAAGATTGTGCCACTGTGGTAAGTAGCTAGTACTTTTACGCTCTCCGAGACCTCCATTTAAGTACTAGTATAATCGCCTTTTCGAGTGCGGCAAACATGAGTACTTTACTCAGCATACGCAATATTTTTGGCGTCATCGATTCATAATCCAGCCAAATATTCATGCAGAGTTATGCAGGAGCCATAGGTATAAATAATTCATACGCTCATAGAACCCCCTCATCAACTCGCATATCATCCTCATTCCCAGTAATCTCACAAGATGGTCAAGTTATACGGCGCTCCCACTGTTTCCACATGCACGCGCCTCGTCGCCCTCATCTTGAAGGAAAAGAATATCCCATATGAGTTGATCCAGGTCAACATGGCCAAAAGTGAACACAAGGCCGCGTCCTTCACAGCGATCCAGCCATTCGGAGAGGTGCCATACATCGTGAGTCGAGTTGTGACCAGGTCTCAGGATGTCATTCGCTGATCGACGCCCTCAAAGGATGACGACGGTTTTATTCTATACGAGTCTCGCGCGATCGCAAGATACCTCATCAAGAAATACCCCAACCAGGGCACCCCTTTGATTCCCAGCGACCCTAAGGCTCAGGCTCTGTTTGAACAAGCCGCTTCGGTCGAGGTGTTCAACTTCACCAACTTCGTACAGCCAATTGTGTTCGAAAAAGTGTTCAAGCCGTGAGTTATTCTCTTTTTGATTTCGACGTAGCTCAGACGATTTCTCAAGGCGCTTTGGTCTGCAACCAAATGAGGAACGTGTTAGCGAGCTGTTGAAGACACTCCAGGAGAAGTTGGATGTGTATGAGGTGATCCTCAGCAAACAAAAGTACATTGCTGGTGATGTGCGTCTGATTTATTTCTTGACGTTTTCTCTGGCTATGAACTGACAGTATCTGTTGGCTATTTAGTTTCTCACGCTTGCTGATTTGTTCCATCTGCCGTATGGCACTGTGTTTTACACAAATGGCTTTGCCGAGGTGTTTGACAGCAGGCCTAACCTTGCTAGGTGAGAGCTATGATGCCAGCTGTCGTGGGTATTATTTAATCGTTTGATGCGCAGGTGGTGGAAGGACATCTCTAACAGGCCTGCTTGGCTCGCCGTCAAGGATGGTGCGTAAGGTCTTATTCAAGAGGTTCGGAAAGCAATGCAGTCTTGTTGTATGCAATCTCAATAGAAGTTTAGTTTGATATTTGCTGCTTGATTCATCGCAAGGAGAACGAGAACTCCGCCACTCATGACTCATGAAATGGTGAGGATCGTGGAGGATGCATTTACAATTGGAAATTTGCGCACAACGGCAGATGAGAATCTACTACATCTACACAAGTCACGTAGTGCAAGGCAATTTTGGGATGTTCGCCCGTGACTCGTCTCTACAGTACATACTCGATGGTGACCCTGAACGGTTCAGACTTCAGGGTGAGCGGCCGGTCAGTGTCTTTACGTGGGGGAAACGTACCGAGGCACAAGTGTCAGGAACATTGAGTACATAAGGTCTAGACTCATCTCGAGCGAACCAAACCTGTAACGGTCTGCTTTTGTACCACCCTTATCGTTTACTATATCCCGCCCTTCGTAGCTCACCTTATCTTTTCATATATTATACCGAGCTACATAGTACTCAGTCATTTGGGGCCGAAAGGTCGGTTGAGCCCGCTTTGATGTTTAACTAAACAACGAACACAGCAGCTAGTGAGCCTGATTGCGCAGCCACGGTATCATGACACCCATGCCTGTTAGTATCAGGATCTTGATATGCGAGCGAACAAGTTTTGACAGTTCTCACTGATATATGTAAGTGTAATGCTGTTTGAACTCCGTCGCATGCGGTCAAAGATTGAAAGCGTGGTTATGCAGGTGATGGATATGATGATTTACGAGA